TATGTTTTCTTGCTCTAAAAACTCTTTTGTTCTGTGTGCGGTGTGAAAACTCGCATTGTCGTGATGGAGGATGATGCGGCGGTTGCACTTCTCTTTACGAAGTTCAGAAACGACCTGTGGCAAACAAATGCTAGCATACTATTCTGCATTAACCGTTCCTTGTCCCTTAAGAGGAATAGTCATAACATGGCCGGTTTTGGAGACAAACGTGGCCACCATTTTTTTGGCTTTAACTCATTTTCGAACACCCAAACTCGTGACTGGTTTTTTGTTTCGGGTTCGTACGCATATATCCAGGATTTGTCACCTGATACGATGTTGTATTCAGCATTTGAGGATCATGCGTGGAATCTTTCGAGAGTTCTGAAGCACCAAGTAACGCCACAGAGCGAATACGGTATCCATCGGGAAAACAACTTTTTTACACCTAATTGTTCATGCAAGATTATTTGTATTTGACTTATGCCAATGTCTAAAGTTGCCTAAATTTCGCGGTATGCAATGTCGATCTTCCTCAATCAGCTTACGCACAGCATCAACGTTTTCTTGGGTGACTGCAGTTTTCGGACGACCTTGACGGGGATCATCACTGAGCTTGACAAGTCCACGTTGAAATTCAGCGGCGATAAATTGTGGTTTTCGATGGGGCTTCATCACCAAATGCAGAAATCATCCGTCAATCACACTGTTTTTGTGTTAAACCACTTCGAAAGTCATAATAAATCATCGCTCTTGAATTTTTTCTAAATCCTAAGACTAAACAAGTTTGACAAAACCTTGTGACAAGACCGAGAATCTTTTTTTTAAATAAATAAATGGTATTCGATTTTTAAAACCAAGGAGCTTTCAGTTAAAAAGGTTTTAATATGACAGGAACGGTGGAAATATTCCATTCCCGATACTTTTAGTGTAGCCTATGTATTACGGTATAAATTTATTATATATTTTTGATAACAATGACCAACTAAAAAAGAACTAGCCACTTTAAAATGTTTTAAACTTGTAATTTTTTATCATTTATTTCAGATTGAACTCGAGGAAGCGAATTTTGCACTCGAATACTTGTATCTTTTTTTTTTTTTTTTTTGATGTTGAAAACCGCTATTTAAACATCTTTTATATTTTTATTGTAACGCAAACTCAACATTTAACTGGAGAAGAGATGTCAAAGCAGTGGGAATGCTACAGGTAGAAGCTTTTCAACGTGACTGCAGCAATAGGCAGCATGCGAAATGTGATTTCGAGGTTGTGGTCACGCTATCGTGCCACGGGGGAGACCGTGATACAGGCAGACCGTTTTTTTGTCAAATTTCTGCGAAAATGCAACCAAATGTTTGGCGATGCAATTGGTCCAAAGGCAACAGTACATTCACCAGGTGCTTTTTAACGACCAAACTGTGAGGAGGATACCTCAGGAAGACAACCTTCATGCTCGTAGACCACTTTGGTTTCCAGCTCTAAGAAATGGAATTCGTATGATATAAGTACAAATATAAATAAACTTAACATAAATATAAATATAATAAGCGTTATGAACATCAATATACCAGCTTACCAGCCCACATAGAACTTAGAGTTCTTTTAGGAACCTATAAGAATGTCGAAAAGTGCATGTAAGAACAGCTCAAGCTGTATATAGTCTGTATTATGGGATCTAAGTAAGCTTAGTTAAGTCTTAATTAGAATATGAAAACTCTAGTATACAACTTTAAGAGCTTTAGTTTTTTTTGTAGAAGAGGGGCAAACGAGCATGCGGCTCACCTGATGTTAAGTGACTACCGCCGCCCATGATCAACCACAACACCAGATGCGTTGCCGGCCCTTAAGAAAGTAAGCTCTTTTCTTGAAGCTCCCCAGGTCGTATCGGTCCGAAAAAATCGCCGGTGGTAAACTATTCCACAGAGAGGTGCTACGCGGAAGAAAACTCCTTTTGAAACGTACATTGGTAGACCGCCAAGCATCCAGATGGTGTGGATGGTATCGGGACGTTTGCCGCGTAGTGCGTTCACGAAATTTGGCGGCTGGGATTAATCCGAACAATTCCTCAGAGCACTCCCCATGGTATATGCGAAAGAAAATGCAAAGAGATGCAACTTCTCTTCGCAGCGCCAGTGAATCGAGCCGATCGGAAAGCACTCGGTCGTCGACGATTCGAGCCGCTCTGCGCTGGATGCGGTCAAGTGGAAGGAGCTGGTACTGGGGAGCCCCAGCCCAGTGATTGGAACAGTATTCCATGTGCGGGCGAACCTGCGCCTTGTAAAGTTGCAGGCGGTGTGCCGGTTTGAAATACTGTCCCGCTCTGCTGACCACGCCAAGCTTTTTAGAGGCCAATTTGGCTTTCTCTTCCAAGTGACCATGAAACTGCACGTCACTCGATATGTCGACGCCGAGGATTCCGATAATGGCTGAGGCAACAAGTGCCTTGAAACTGAGGGGATACGACAAGGGGGTTCTTTTTAGCGGTTAACGCGCAAACTTGTATCTTCTGGGGGTTAAACTGGACTAGATTTAGTCGCCCCCAATCCGAGACTCTGTTCAGCAGAGACTCGACTTCAGACACAAGTTTCTCCCGGTACTCGGAGACATTTTCCCGAGAAATATTGGCACGGCCGGCGTACAGAGCATCACCAGTGCTGTCATCTGCATAGCAATGAATGTTACGGGTTTGCAACATATCATTGATATGCAGAAGAAATAGCGTTTACGATAGCACGCATCCTTGTGGAACACCAGCATTAATAGGCTAATAAACGAAGCTTGCACCGTCTACAACAACCTTGATACTCCGATCTGCAAGAAAGCTGGTGATCCAATCGCACAATTTGTCGGGAAGCCCATAGGAAGGGAGCTTCGAAAGAAGCGCTTTGTGACAAACCCAATCGAAGGCCTTCGCAATGTTCAAACTAACGGCCAATGCCTCCCCCTTGGACTCTACTGCCTCCGCCCATCTGTGAGTTAGGTAGACCAGAAGATCACCAGCTGACCGACCACGGCGAAAACCGTATTGGCGAACACTAATCAGCTGGTGATCCTCAAGGTACCTCATGAGCTGGCAGTTAACAATAGACTCTATTGTTTTGGAGAACAAGGAGGTGATGGCGATAGGCCGGTAGTTGGACGGGTCTGAGCGGTCGCCTTTTTTAGGGATCGGGTGGACGAAAGCCGTCTTCCATGATTTCGGGACTACGCCTAGGGAGTAGGCGTAGTCCCGAAATCATGGACACGTTAAAACCGACGCCAACTCTGGAGCACACGTCCTCAGCACAATTGGGGGGATTCCGTCAGGCCCACTCGACTTGTGGATGTCCAGGGAGAGGAGTAGTAGTAGTAGGAGTTAGTTACACTTGAATCTGATTTATCATTAAAGCTGTATAGTAGCTGTATTTTGCATACCGACACTTGCTTATGACAGCTCAAGTGTTATAGTATCACTCAAATCTTATTTCTGAACAATGGTGTATGCAAACTCTCTTCTAAAACATATTTTTATGACATAATTGTACACTCTTGTAAATACATTAGTTTTATTACTTTTGTCTGTGAGGGTGATCGCCATTTTGCTTGCATTGCGTTTTAACAAAATTAATTTGTTATCAATATGAGGGAAAAAAGAAAGTTAGAAGATCATGTTCAATCTAAATAAAAGTTATAAAACACTGTTCCCATTACAATATTTTTCATCTTTTACATGTACCATTAAAGAAAATTATATGTTATGATGAAAAAACTACTATGCAGCGTAAATAATAAGATATTCTATAATACAACTGATTAAAAACCCAATAACTGTATGATGGAGTCAATAACATACATAGTACAGCTACTAAGGCTATGAGACCCTCGAAATACTGTTTAGGCCATTTAGAAAATTGTCGTCATTTTATGACTTATAAAAACAAAATTTACAATATAGTTTTAGGAATATTAGACATTAGTTGTAGCCTATACCATTATTTTCAATTTGACTAATGATCACTGTACCCCAATGTGCCTACATAATGTTCTTTATATTATTAATTTTTTAATTCTAACCTGTAACACCGATGTTTATTTACTGTATTTAGTATTATGTCCTTATGTTATTTGGTTATTTTGCTGAAGCGGCAATTTTTGATGGAAAACATAATATACATGTTTATCGTAAATCTAATTTTACACTTTCAATTCACCAATTATCACCGCCAAAACTTAACTCTAATCCGAGTATAATATAAATATGATAAATATATTATTTTACTCTGACATTAAATAATGTCGCCATCTTTTAATAAAGTATATAAGTAGGATAATAATCCAGTCCTCGAAAATAAAGTTATTTTTATTTTATATTGATTTGTTATTTCATTCAAAACCCAATATAGAAGGCTTATTTTTAAAAATTACTTAGACAATATCGGTAGTGTAATAGTTTCCTTGCACACCAAATAATAGCTGTAATACAGCCTTTTATACAGCTTCCTTTATGTTTGTACAGCCAGTGTACAACGCTACTGGCGCATAAAGCTGTATTAATTGTGCCAATTTTACTTATAAGCTACTAATAACTATATGAGCGTTGATACAGCCTTTATACAGCCAGTAAATACAGTTATAGTATAAAAACAGACTTCAATACAACTCGTATACAGCTTCCATGCTACTCGGGTATTAACTCTAATAGCCGCTCTAAATAGGTTTTTTCTTTATTTTTTAATTTAAAATTAAACTTTCATGCTGTATAGTTTTCACACGCGTTTTTTTCTCTGCATAAAAATCTAAAATCTCATTTAAAGTCAATGCTTATATAAAAATAGTAGATTATTAAATAGAGTTTTCGTGGATATATTACGTCTTAAGAAAATATTGATATACTCTTTGGAATTCATGTGTTGTTAAGATATCCTTATACCGTGTTGAGGTGTTTATTACGTACCTAAATTAAAAAATTATGATGAGATACATTAGGAAAAACGGGCGGAACTAAATTATAACAGTCAAGTATTAAAAAGCTCAAAACATACCTCGTATCACTAGAATGTAGTGGCCATTGTATTCCGAAAATCTTTAATTTTGCTGGAGGACGTCGCTTTTGCTCTGAACGAGCATTTTCCTCTACCGGCGGAGTATGATGCCTTCCTCCTGATGATGCCCTGGTACCACTCCTTCGACGTCGTCGTCGTCTTCTTTCCACTAATATGAAGTTATCACCGTTTCTTATTATATAAGAAGACCGAAGAGTTGATTTTTCCTCGCCTTGACGCTGTCGAATTAAATCAGCTGTTCTTAGTGTATGAATATTTTGATACTCAGCCTCTGGTGGAGCAGATGACGTCACTTCTCTGCTAGTTCCACTTCCATCCCTTTTCTTTCGGGAGGAATGGAGACCAACTCGGCGCCAAACCTTTTCCATGAATCTGTATTTCCTGTCATCCCATTATATTTTTAACTGTTTTTATACTTTAACTGTAGTTAGCTGAACAAAAACCGGCTGCCCGTAATTAAACAAATGTACGCAAAATTCAAGTACTTTCATGTGAACGTTGTTTTCATTAACTTGAATTAAGTGTCTAATATTATTGATATGATACGTGATGTAACAAATCTCACGAAAGATTAAGACACCGGATGCTTAAACAATCTTTGTCATTGTCTAGAAAGGTACCACTTGTGTGTTGGGCATAGGTAGGAACTATTTAAGCTTCTAGTTCAATCACACAAAACACACCACACTTTTAGTTCGGGAGATTTTTATAATTATTACAGAGTAGTAGGTTATTGAATATACGAAGAGAATAATTTGTTTTCTGACATCACATTTACTGAGGTCTCGGCCCTATAGACAGGGTGCGGGTTCTTTTGATACGCATGCGCGTCACCCCTCGCCTGCAATGTTCACCAAGGTACTTATTTTTAAAATGGCGGAGTCCCGGCCCCTTGCTTTTATTGAATATCTAATTTTATCCCGTGTATCCATTACAGTTGCATTACAGTCATGCTTTTTTAATAACCAACATTTGAAATACGTTCAGTTTTTTGATTAACTTTTACATATAAACTAAACCTTCTGAAGTGTGGATTTTTATGTCTGCCATAAAATAAAAACGCAGGTTTTTTTAAATTTAATTAGCATGTATGCATCCATGTAATATCTATCTGCTTTCTTCTGCAAAAATCAGTGCAGTGACAATATTTTCAATATTACGTTTTCAAAATATAACCTACAACCATTACATGATATTTTTTGACAAAATAGTTTGATCTTGTTACTCAGACAGAGGGTAATATCCTGTTGCGTGGTAAACAAGGCATTGTCTGACAGATTTTCGAACCTTTACAATAAATAACAGTTAGGTACCTGACTCAAGCCAAGCTGCAGTGAATTATAGTTTTTAGCACAAATGGGCTGGCTCGGCTGAGGAAGGACACCACTCGCTGAGAATACTGTCATACAATAGAAGCATAATGTAGTGTTTTTACTAGAAAAGAGGCACTCCTGGTTAGATCTCGGAGATGAAAACGCACTTACGTCTATACGTAGACGTCTATGAGCCACAGCATTCACTTACCATCAAGTGGACTGTGTGCTCGTTTGTAACGGTTGTTGCTCCTATTAAAAAGTTACTCATCAACGCAGAATAATATACCAGCCCACAAGCTCACCGCTGGACATAGGTCTCTTCCATAGATTGCCACAAGGTAGTAGAATAACTGACATATAGATGCTAAAGATAGTAGAACACCGAATAGCGCAGATCAGTAAGTTGAACATACAACGTGTCGGCCATATTGCTCGAAGAACCGAGAACAATGGGGAAGAAGTGTGCCAGCTTCGTACTGGCAAGCGCAGTGTTGAGCGACCCTTGACTAGACAGAACGAAGACCCAATGATGGATGCAGGTGGCTCAGCACTGTATTTTGTGAAAAATAAAAATATTATATTGATCTAAATTATATACTGTAAAGACAACACCCTTCATATTACAGAGAGAAAAAAAGAAAAAATAAAGATGTGTTTTTAAAACGAATCTATTGTTTTTAAGCAAGATTAATTAACGAACGCGATAATAAATTACAAATTTTGGATTGGAAAAGGACGAGTGCAAGGACGTAGAAAAGAAAGGTTTCCTCTGGACCGAAGGGAAAATTATGAGACGAGTTGAAAAATTGTAAACATTCTTCGAGATAGAATAAGATAGGATTCCAAATTGTAAGATCTTCCAAAACTATAACACGTAGTGCAAAGAAGAAATAGTGTGAGTAGGTGCCTAAGTATTTCGAATAAGGCAAATTGACAGCCACTTATAAAATATAAAGTTTTGAATAGTATTAGAATAAAAAATTGCTGACTGACTGACATCACTATTTTAGGTACTTTTTAAGATTTCAAAAAAGTAGGAGTTTCTCAATTCTTATGTTTTTCGTGTGTATGTTCCGCGAAATAGAAAAATTTCACACTAAAGGGAGGAATATAGTTGACGACCTTGACAATGAAAATTTTGTATTTTTGACCAAAAATATCAACAAAATAAGTTAAATTTGAATAGAATCAAAGTAACAAACGTGCTTAAAGTTCAGCCAATATGTAAACAGGGAATGCCACGATTCTCTCCGAGGACTAAAATGAAATGCCTCACACCATGTAATTATACTGGCTCTCAAACTCTCCAAACCGGAACACAGCAATTAGTGCGCCGCTATTTCAGACTTGCACCTATAACAGAGTGATTACATAAACACTCCTTGCTTGCACCGACTGAATCCTTTGGATTTGTTATATATGTAAGGGTGACAAACAAGCACATAGTCTAGTCTAGCTGATGGTAAGTGGGGTGGATGCTGTGCTGTGATGCCATTCAAGAATCTTTTTTCTCCATCGGCTGTCGGTTCTTCGAGCTATATGGCCGACCCATTGCTACTTCAGCTTACTAATCCGTTGGGCTATGTCGGTTACTGGTTGTACTACGGATATGTTATTTCTAAGTTTATCACGACGAGAAACTCCGAGTGTAGCCCTCTCCATAGCTCGCTGAACGGCCTTGAACTTTCTCATTCGGCCAGCAGTGAAGGACCACGTCTTTGATCCATAATTCATTAACACCATAGAATACTATAATACACACATCAACACTTACAATCAGGTGAAATATAGTCTAAGACTGGCTATTAAACTATTATAATAGTTAAAAAATCTAAATCCAATCATGTATGTATTCTCACCCCTGTGCATTAAGATGGAATACGTTGTTACCAGTAAAAAGGACCTCGAGTTCTCGCTACTCACCATACGAAGCACAGCAGCATTATACTGCTGTTTCATACGTTGTTTTTGTCGTGCTACCATTCGTGCTGCAGCTATAATACACTACATTGTGGCTACGTGGTAGACCACGTAAAAATGGTATCATAGCCGCATATTGGCAGGGACAAGACACGCCTTTCCATAAGGAGAGGCGCTCTAACCTTCTTTCATACCTTCTTATCATATATCATCATAACAAAATCTTGCGTCTTTCATAATACTTTTTTCCTAAGTTTTCCCTTCCACATAATTCATTTTCAAATAAAAATCTGTGCTCGAAGAGCATTTAAATGAATGCTACAAAATCCGGGAAATTCCTTTCGTTTAATTTTAATGAAATTTTAATTCTTCTTAACACAGACTGATTCGAATTAAATTTAGGTCACATAAAGAATGCACCAATATATTTTAAGTTACTACCTGATATTGATCGAATTCCGCTAGAAGACTTAGAAAAATCTAATTGTTATAAGGCTCGAAGTTTAGTATGGTTGCTTTTTAAAATGATTGTGTGATAACGTCAGCTTCCGATAAATTAAAGTTACTCTTGTTTGATATCGAAAACCCTAACCGATTTTAACGATTTCTTTTTCGATTAATCGATTTTGTTGATAGAGTTAAATAAGAACTATACCTATTATTACCATCCAGAAGCCAAAAAGAATTCTGCGACCACGTCATGTCACTGTATATACATACCTAATATTTGTGCCCTCTGTTAAATATGATAAACTATTAGATCTAAGTAGATATTTAAATATGAGATTTAAGTAGATATTTAAACAGCGTCCTCCCTTTTTGTAAAGAACGTTTGCCAAAGGCACCAGGGAATATGAATACTGAATGTCTTCGGTGAGATTGTGGCGGTGATGTCGTCGCACTACAAGCTAAACAACACCTCACCCTCATCTCGACTCGCATAGTAAAAGGGAATACCTAAATCCTTCCATAGCCAGAGGATACTTCCACATGTAAGGTAAATAAAAATAAACAATACATTGGAGTACTTATGTGGTCGGTATATATCCTGATAATGGTTCGCATATTATTCAGGAAGACCTTATAGATGTGCTAATAAGTGCCAAAATTATTTACTAAATTCAGCTTTTAATAAATCTTCCCAAGGTAACCTATATTTTTCACATAAGAATCTCTTAGCATCTGAATTTCATCTTATGTCTGAGTATGCATCCTTTGTCAAGTAGTGTAAACTATTTTCCAGGCCATCTGCGTCCTGCATCGCCCGCTATCGCAGTTATTAAAGTTTCTCTTATTTTTTAGCAGACTTAAAAAAGAGAAGGTTCTTATTTAACTGTATATCCTTTTTTATATGCACACATACGCGATATATTCCTCAATTGTCAATTGATTTTGATGTTTGTCATTTTTAGAATTTAAGATTATAGTACTTCAAGAAATTCTACCCTTACGGGTGGCAAAATAAATAGCGAAGTTTTTAATGTAGCTATTTAAACGCATTTGCTATTTATATTTAAACGGCATTGAAATTCCCTTCGAAAAAATGAAATAATTCCATATTCTGAACTTCAAACCTGTTATATGGAAATTATTTTATTCCTTTTGATTCTTCGGAGTAGGCTTTATAAATTATTAAGCTTTCCACTTGTGACAAAGTTGTGCATACGAGATTTAAGACGAATAATGTCAGAATAATTACATTCACATCTGGACACCACAAACATATTACAAATGTCTGTGCTGGAGACAAAGATGAATCAAACGATACCTCACTCTTTAATTTTCGTCAAGTCGTCGAGGATAGAAATTATAAAAGAACAGAAAAATACATATACAAATGGGTCGGCTCGACCGAGGAAGGACCACGCTCTCACAGAATACCAGCGTAAAATAGCAGCTTAACGCTACTATGATATTGTTTTGGGCAATAAGGATATGGGGTAATAAATGGAAATGTGATAGTGAAAACTATTGATTAGCTTAATTCAATATGGTATTGTGCGCGCGGTTCTCCATACGGTTAAGCTTTCGGGGTAGGTTAGTAAGTCGCCCAATTTGCAATTCGTTGAGTCGCATCCGGACCGCGCTAGCAGACGCAGGCGGTCACGTCCGTCGGTCGTCGGCTCCCGCCC